GAAAGGATTGCAGTGTGACCATCACTCCTGGAGTGGGGTGATTTCTCTCTTTCAGTGTCTCTATTTGTCTCTTTCATGAGCAGACACACCCTATAGCAAAAATCTCTCTCAAAAAAAAAAAAAAAAGCTCTGGACTCCCACATGGTCAACTGTGATTTGAGTCCTGGACCTGGTGGCTTTCTTTCTTTCTCATCCCATTCCATCTCTCTCTGGAGAATTAAAGTGATAATAACAATAATGAATAAAATTAAATAATTCTTTAAAATATATCATTAAAACTAAATGTCAATGTATGAAGAATATGCTATGTTATGAGCATATTATATTTACATATAATATTTTGCATTGTGTAATATGCACTTTCTCTCATCCATTGGGGAATGAAACAACAAATTACTCAATTAGAAGAAGCAATCAAAAGCATTGAAAAGTAAAAACCAGATTTGAGTAGAGTAGGAAAGTACTGGTAGGTAGTCTCTTTCTAGCCCAATTTAAAGTGCTATAAAGTAATTCTTTAATGTATGTGTCTTTAACTGTAGCCTTTATCTAGTTAGTGGTGGTAATTATAGCATCTAACTAAAGAATCTGAGTTCTGTAGTAAGTAGGTCAATATCATCAGGCACATCTGGAAATCTATAGGCGAGAATGGCCATTCCACATATCACATTATTTGCCTTATACCCTACAAGTAATTGTGTAACATATAGAATGAGAATCAAATCCCTGATCCAATTTGAATATCTTATTTGACATGTAAAATCTCATAGATGTCAATCAAGACTACCAATTAGGGCCGGGATTAATAATAATTAATGTAGAAAGAATGACTTCAGGCATGACAGTATGAGGAGTTTGTTGGCCCTCTCTCTAGTGAAACTAGTGGAAAATAAGAAAATGAAAGTTTATGTGAATGATTCTAAGGCCAGACAACAAATAAAAATATATCTATTTAAGAAGTCTGTGAAAATTCAGTAAGAAAGTTGAGAGTCTGTGGTATTTAAGTCAATATCAATCCTTTTTCTACATGTAGGTCAGCATGGCAAAGACTCTGGACTGCTATAACTAAAATCAAAACTCTCTTTAGTCACCAATTGGAAAGCTTTTTTTCACAGAATTTTTGTCTCATTTTGTCCCAACTACTTGCTGCTGAGGTTGTGGCTTAGATGAACTTAGCTGAGAATGAGTTCTCCTCTTCCATTCAACCATCACTCATAAGTTGAAGATGCTTCCTTTTATGTGGTGCACTGGGAGTATAAGGGCCATGATTACCCTTGACCTGGCTTGGAAGACTGTGGTTCCATGCCAGGAGAGACATTCTGAGAATGGCAGCCAATTTCTCTCCCTATACCAAACATTAGGCTCCTGGCAGAGGTGCCACTCACCGAACAGCTTGTCAATGTCCTAGCTCCAGCCCTAGGGCTCTAGTTTAGAGATTTTTGCTTGTTTGGAGAGAGAAGCAAGTTATGAAATTGAAATTCTAAAATGTCATACAGAAGGAATTAACTTCATTTGCATCAGAGTATGAAGAAATTCAAGCTTAGTAGTGCTGTCAAGAACAGGGCAGATTGTGGTGAAAAGTAATTGGGAAGATACTTAAGTTATGGGCTAAATTATAAGTTGTCTAGTTTTCAGGAGAGAACTGGGAAATAGGAGAGCTGGGAAGAGCCTTCTTAGGGTCAGAACAAATATCAAACACAGCCTTCAAAAACTTTCCCATCAAAGAATTTAGAATTTCATGGGATTCTCGAAGATCCTTTAAGAATCTAACCAAGTTGCATTAGACTCTATAAACTTTATAGAATCTAAGGCCATTATTGAAAATAACAAAGCAATAAGTGGTAATTAATGGAGTTTAACAGCTGGGCATCGTCATAGAAAGAGGAAAGGAGCCCTACTAAAAACCACTGTCATTTCAGGGTGACTGAGGGCATACTGAAAGCTGTGCCTACCAGAAAACAGCATAGGCTAAAACTTTGAGTGTACGTATTGTGGATGTGTATATTTATACATTCAGTCACACATTTTAGTAAACAAGCAAAGGTCAATAAAACTCCCCTTGAGGCTGGGCACCAATAACCAGTTTTGCTACAATGTATTATCTAAAGTATCCAATTTCCAGCTGCTATAACCACAACAAAGTATGAGGCATACAAAGAAACAAACTGAAATAATGGCTAAAACCTTCTCAAATTTATTGTAAAATAATAATATCCTTATTTCAAAAGTTAATCAGACTGAGTAAGAGAAGTGACACAAATAGGTCCACAAATGGTCATAAAAAAGATCCAGAAATAGGTTGTAATTGTTATGGTTTGGACCATAGTTTGTCCAACACATTTATGTTTTGGAATCTGATGCCAGAAGGTGGTGATTAGATCATGGAGGTGCTGGCCTCATGAAGGACCAATGCTATCTCACGAAAGACTGAATGATTCTAACTCTTCAAAGAGTTAGTTCTGATAGATGGTCATACAAGACCTACAGCTCCTTCCCCTCTTCCTTTCAGCACTTGCCACCACTTTTTGAGCATCTGACAGCTAGGATGTGATATAAACCAGCCTGAATCCAGGGACACATCTTTGAACTTTCTAATCACCAGAATCATAAGTCAAATAAGCCTCTATTCATTATAAATCACCCCAGTCTCAGCTATTTCTGTTACCAAACCAATAATGGACTAATATAGTAAAAATGCTCCAGTCAAAGACAAGGAAAACATCTGGAAAGGAGCGAAGGAAAAATGACATGTAACTTGCAAGGAGTTCCCAAGAGCACTGAGATTATCAGAAGGGTTAATGTATGAAGGACGTTGAGATAGCTGTAGGCATATATAGAAGAGAATGGAGGAGAAAGGATTGCAGGTGGCCATCCCCCCTCGGGGGTGATTTCTTGCTTCTTGCTTTCTGTCTCTCTGTCTCTCTTTCTGGTCAGCGCACACGCCCTATAGTAAAAACCTCTCAAAACAAAAACAAAAACAAACAAAAAACTTGTGGACAAATACTTCTGGATACTTTAAAGAGTACCCATTTTATCCTGACATTATTTACACTTCAGAGATGAGCTATAGGCATCTTTATATAGTAAATTGACATTACCTAGTGGGAACAAAAAACCTAGGTATTTCTTTCTTTCCAAAGTCCCTAAATATTGCCGCATCATTTAACTTATTCTTGACATTCTGACCTTTTCCCCTTTAATAACGGTCATCTATTACCAGCAGCAATCTCACATCAATGCTTTCTCTGCCACAATGCCAGAAAAAAATTTAATCCAAAGTTTCATTGTTTTAAGAGTAATAGTTACAATTCTTTAAATGATATAGCTCTTCTTGAGCTTTCATTTATGAAACAATGCTGTCTTTCTAAGGTAATATTTCCACTTCAGTATAGTCAACAATGAAAACTGGTTAAGAAATGTCACAATGTTCTTCAAACTCTTTACTTTTTGTCAGAATATTTGCTTTTGGTTTTAGATCAAAATAATGCTTGTGGGATGAATTACCATTTTCTAGAACAAAAATTCAGAATTTTCTTGTTGATAATTCTACAAACAAGTCTTAATGAAAGTGTAAATAATTGGCAAAGTTAGATGCCTGATATACGAGGGACTTCAAAGACTTCAAGAAAAATATCTATTATAAAAAAATGCATAGATTTCAAAATTCTTTTGCACCAAAACAAACAAAACAACGCATGGATTTCAAAATTCTTTTGTGCCAAAAAAGCTTGTACATTAACTCCATTTTTCTATACTCTTTCTGAAGTCTCCTCATATTTCCTTTCACTCTTATTAGAATACCGGCTAATATACATTTTTTTAAAAAAATAATAAATAGGAAAACATTAAATAATGTGGAAAAAATTATGGGAGTGAATGTTTAAAAATGTACATTAACTTCAATATTTATATGTGCCTGTATTATTTTAATTCACAACTGTGAAATGTGCATATAATACATGTGAACTAGAATAACAGTGTATCTGAACACAGGGACAAATGACAGGAATAGATTAGAGGCTTACCCTTTCATTCTCCAGTTAGGGGCATGATACCTACTTATTTCAGAAACTAGAATATGAACTATCCAATCACAAAATAGGAAACAGGACAATTGAATATTTGCCCAAGTCATCAATACATAAAGAGCCATAAAATATTGCTGTGTATTAGAGTATCATGCAACTGAAGGATTAAAAAAAAGAAGACAGTTTTCAGATTTCTTTCTATACTTTATGTGAGCCTCCAGAAAGTTAGGAGTAAAAGAGTAGAGGAGAAGAAATAACAAAGAACTACAAGAGACATTTCTTAAAAAAAAAAATATATATATATATATGTAAATTTTCCAGATGGAAAAGTCTATTGTAAGTTGATTTAATTTCTTTAAAAAAATGCAGATTTACATAATTATGTTGAACATTTAGAAATTTATAGTAGAGAAATCTTTCAGAAAATGTTTCCAGAGCTTTATAAAGTAATATACAATATTAACTACAAATAAATTTTAGTTTAAGTGTAAATTTCTCCTTTTTTGGAGAGGTTTTTTCGCTATAGGGCATGTGCGCTCGCCAGACAGACAGAGAGAGACAGAGAGACAGAAAGCGAGAAATCACCTCCCGGGGGGATGGTGACGCCACAATTCCTTCTCCTCCATTCTCCTCTCGGGATCTTGGGCACGCACCCACACGCGCCCAGCGTGAGTTTTAAGTCACCGGGTCTGGGATGCGAACCGTGGTCGACTACGTTGGAGTCCAGCGACATAGCCATTACGCAAACTGATGGTTCCCAAGTGTAAATTTCTCGAAATCAACGAATTAGGCTAGAAATCAGCAGACTAATACTTTGGAAAATTCTTTTAAAATCTAGAATTTAAACTAGCCAAAATACTAGGCAAATGAAATGGTGAAATTAAAAAAAAAAAAAGTTAATTAGGCAGTGGTATACAAAGTTATAATCAGAATTGCCAGAACTCTTGAACCCAACAGATCTTCATTAATCACCAAGATGATGAGGCATTGTAGATGTGGCTGCTATGTCATAGTTGTGTCAGTAGTGGGCAAGGAGCAGAGAGTCTATGTCTACGCTGTGTTCCAACCCATGGACATTTGAATGATTAGTAGCCTGACGCTTAAAAAAGGAAAATATATATGCAAAGTAAAATATATATGGGAAAAAAATTAAGAACTTTACAATGATATCAAAAGTTATAATATGTTCATAATTGAAAAAAACCAGAATAAAATAGAGAGTAAGTGAGAAGAAATATTTGAAGTAATAATGGCTGGAAGACCCATATGAGATAAATATAAAGCTACTGTGATCAATACAGCATGGTACTGGCAAAATAATAGAGACACTGATCAATAGATTAGTAGTCTAGAAATAAAAAAATACAAATATACTCAGCTGATTTTTATAAGCACATTTTAACTGAAAAAGAGTAATATTTTCTACATTGTGCTGAGATAATTGAATATCTTATACACAGACTTTACAACCCACTCAAAATAAACTTGTAATTAAAATGTAAAACTTGGGACCAGCAGATGGCATGTTGTTTACATCACTAGACTCCCACATGCTCAACAGCTTTTTGAATCCCAGACCCAGTGGCTTAAAACTCACACTGAGGGCATGTGCGTGCATGCCTCAAATCCAGAGAGGATAATGGAGGAGAAGGGATTGGAATGTGACCATCCTCTGGAGGATTGATTTCTCATTTTCTGTCTCTTTCTCTTTCTGTCCCTCTGGTGGGTGCATGCGCCCTATAGCAAAAATTTCTCTAATGAAAAAAATAAAAAAAAATTTAATATAAAACTCTAACACTTAAAGATAAAAATACATGCTTGTAAACATGGGTTTGGTTATAAGATTTTAAATAAAATAATAAAAATTGTCAGCCTTGAAAGACAATTTTGATGAATTGTACTTTATTCATATTAAAAACGTTACTGTGTGAAAGACATTAAGAGAAATAAAAACATACCACAAACTGGGAGAAAACATTTGTAAACTGCATGTCTTGTAAATTATTTGTATCAAGACTATAAAGGGACATTTGGTGGTTAAGGTGGCTGGAATCTACATAACTGTCAACGTGATTCAAGTCCTGGAACCAGTAACTTGAGAATCACACTGGAAGAGAGAGAGAGAGAAAGAGAGAGAGAGACAGAGAAAGAGAGTGTGTGTATGTGTGTGTGTGTGACCAAACTCCTAAGAGGAGAAATAGGGAAGAAATGATTGCAGCATGACTCTCCCACAGGGAGGGAAGGTGGGTTCTCTCTTTCAGTCTTTCTGTGGTGAGTGCATGCAACCTTTAGCAAATTAAAAAAAAAAAAGT